CTCAATACTTACTGAATGCTTACCCTTCACTTCCAAATCAGAACGACATATTCCGCAGCAGAGTTCAGGTTACACTGCTTCCCACAATTCATTAAACATGTTAATTCCTCAGATGAAGAAAATGCTCATATCCAGCTCAAAACTTACAGATTTTGAAAAATGAAAGATTAAGCACTCAATATGTGCTCGGAGGAATTTATATAACACTTGTTCACACCAGAAGCTGTGCTGATGTGCTCTGCCGAAGACAGTGAAAAATTTTTGAAGCAGCTAACATCCTAGAGCACTAAAAATTCTCTTTGGTATGTTTTGCATTCCATCCCACGCCCTTTCTTTAAACCTCTAGATAGCAACGACAGCATTACGCAACATAAAAGCTTCATTTATGTATCTCTCAAAGGTTACCATCTTTCTTTAGAAAAAAATATTTTGAAATCTTACATTATATTGATGACTTCAGTATAGTTCACGAATTCTAAAGAGCAACTTAAGTTGGAAAAAGAATTACTTAAGAAAAAGGCAATTTATCAGACAAAAAATGATGGATACATTCTACACAATTACCAACAACTTGCCCCTGGTCTACAAGTGTGCACTATTTGTATAGCAATTGCTAGTCTGCAACCAAAAATAGATCCAAGAACTGTAATAAATCACCAGTTTTAAGCAGCGTAAGTATGTCTGCTATTTCCTTTTAACAAATGGAGAATGCAAACATATTCAAAATGTTACTGAGTCGCAGAACCGAAGGACTTGCACAAGTGTTTTAAGGGCTGCTGTGCATCCAGGACCAGTTTAGATCAGGGTGCTCTCCAAGACAATGTTTAAATAGCTGGTCCTAAAGCAGCAAACTTGTCTGCCAGAAGGAGTCTGGAAAAAAAAAAAAAAAAACCACAACAAACCAAACCAAACCCAACAAATAATAAGGTGTAACAAGAATGTAACTGTAGTTTTCTGTTGCTTAAGGTAAAGAAACAATACATCTTTTAGCTAAACACAGTTTATTAGATGAACATGTAAAAACCATGAACTTTAGAAGCTACTTGTCATCCTCGTGTTTCTCATTTACTCCTTATGGTGTCCCCTTGGGTGTCTCAACCATTAGTCTGCTTTTGTCTTGGGTAGACAAAACCATTCTTTACTTACGTTCGCTAATTTTCATACCAGCTGTGAGTTACTGCTAAACCACAGTAATCTGAAAGTCAAAAACTACTGCTAATGTAATCTTTCCCTCAAATCCCTCAATATTCAGTGTTGAAGGAAGCTGGACAAACAATATTTGCTATATTAATTACTGATATTTGTGCCTCAGGTTACTTAAGAGTCATGCCTTTCACGTAACGCAGATTTAAAACAACAACAACATGTTAACTGCTTAACTGAGGAGATAATTCTTAATCAAACTGGAGATTGTGTCTCATGTTATCTTTACTAGCATTGCGCAGAAGTTACTTTGGACAGGTATTTCATGACACTAAACGTCTGGAAAAGCGGTTCCTTAGGAACCTGAAGGTCACTGAAATAATAGATTTAAGCAATCACTACAGGAATATTTCAGGGAAAATCTACAGAACGGTCAAGTTTAGGAACAAGCAAAGCCATACAACAACCATGTGGAATATTTCATAGAAAATACTCCCAAATACTTTTCATTATGTAACTTTTATTTGAGACACACAATGTTGTAAAAAAGTTCACATGAAATAATAAAACCACTGGAGTGTGAAGGTTTTTTTAGGGGTTGGGCTTGTTTTCTTTGTCTCTACACATCAACACACAATTATCGATTAGGTTTACAAGTTAACCACAATGACGAGTTCACTTTTATCTGCAGGAGCTTTTCACATTACACCTTTATACCAGAGATAAAATGTGCTTAAACACACACAGTAGAACACTTCTATTTCGAAATTAAGCATTTTCTCAGGACTATACTTCTTACTCTGAATTTAGTAGCTAATGTAGCATTAAAATAACTGTAATTGAAGTTTTATTTGCAAAAATGTTCGTAAGGCCATAGGAATGCACTAAAATATTTAAATTCACCCGAAACAAGAAAAATAAATGAAAAACCTGCTTTTGTGGAAGAAAAAAATTACAAGTTTTATTTATAAGAATGAACGGCATAAGTAGTTCAGTGAACGGAAGAGAAAAAAAGACCTATTATCACCTACAGACCAATCCTTAAGCAGTTTAACATATCAAAGTTTCGGTTACAATAGATAACCAAATAATAGATGCATTTTCACAAATAACACATTTACGTAATTTACATAATATCCATGTCCTTCGGAATCATAATCCATTCCCAGAAATTCTAATGTGATATGTATACTCAAGACTCCTTTATTCACTTGTGAAAATGATCCACTTAATTCACTTCAGCAGACGAGTACGGGAAAGGTACTTAACGTAAATACTTAAAGAAATACTTTCTGTACGAAGAACTACAGGTCTGAAGAGTCAATCAGCATTTTGGAGAATGTCCCCCAAACAGAAAAGTGAGCTGGGTTAAGTTTCATGAGTGGTTTAAGCTTTAGCAATAATACAGCTTCCAGACAGTAAGTAAATCAAATAATTCTATATACACACAAAAAACTACTTGTGCATGTTTTGCTGAGCACAGATGGAAAGCTAAAATTGCAAAGCACTGACACCAGTTTGTTTTCTGTTGGGCTGCTTTTTTTTTTTCTCCCCCCTTTTTCTAACTATTTAGGAAAATATTGGCCAAGATATAGTGCACAGACACGGGGCTGAGGGAAAAGATTTCATAAAACTCCATAAAATAAGCAGCATTTTTGTTTTATCGAAATCCACCACAATTGTCTGACTTTCAGGAAAGGTTAATGGCAATTTCTGGAATAAAACAGAAATACATTTGCTGCTTAATGAATAACAATTATGTGACTTTCATTTTAATGGGTAGCAGAATACTAAAGGGTTGACTGAGGTATAGTTAAGAGTCCTTCAAAATTTAGGTTATGTCATCTTGAGCAAAAGTAGCAACAGAGACTGCACAAAACAAGCATAGTGAGATCGGAATCGCCTGTAGTACCCAGCATCTGACGCGTAGGCAGAATACACCACTTCTCATCACCCGCTTGGAAAGTAGAGCTAAAAAAATTCCCAGTAAAACATACAGCTGATTTGCACGCTAAGATACAGCACATTTTTCAACGCCTGCCAAGGCAGACTGTACACAGAAGGAGGTCTACGCTGACCACACGTGAGCACACCGGTAAAGTGCAGCCACTCAGCCATTTAATACTGCTGGAGGAGAGGGGTGGGGGCAAAACAACAAAGAAAGAGAGAAATCTGCATTTTACCTTCTCCATAAGACCACATGAAATTAGAATTCTTCAGTTTCAGCAGGGGACAACAAAATTGCATTAAATTCTTCTACAAATAGAAAAAGATGAACTTCACATGAACATTAGGCAAAGTGAAATATTTACTGCATTGTTTTATCATGCATAAAGTGAATTTCCTATGGTCTTACCTCACATTTATGTACAGTTTAGCACAGCTAAATGTAAGAAAATAGCAAGTTTTTCTTCTCCCCCTCCCACCCCCCTTCCCATACATAGCAGATACCCCAATTTGCTGCTGCTTCAAGAAGCACTTCATAGACTCTACTACTTACAGGCTCTTTCAAAAGGGAAGTTCATGGAGACTAATATTGAATGAACATTTAACCACACAGCGAAGACAGGAAAAACAATACAAAGCATTCTGTAAACGGTGCCAAACACAGAACATGTCAGTTTTGGTTTGCAGACAAGCCCTGAGATAAAAATTAAAGTATTACGACACCAAATAAGTCAGAGGTAAATTACTGAAAATAAACAACATTCATAATTGGTGTCACAACACTTTCTGTATAGAAGCACTTTTTTTTAACCATACAGAAAACATAACTGCTTTAGCCTGTCCGAGAAAAACGTCAAGGGTAGACAACAGAGCAGTTAGGGTTGCTTTGTTTTTTCACTAAACCTTATTGCCATGAAGATTTTTTCTTCGTGCAGCAACAACAGTTTATGAAACTCACCATCTAGTTACAAAAACTATTTCTATTAAACTATATGTAGGGACAGGTTGATAACCACTTAAAACCTTATGGAACCAGCTACCAACGTTAAACCATTTGAAATCTAACACTACTGGCCTGTTCACTTTCAAAATATTTACAACAGACCCAGAGATGACAAATTTAGTACCCGACACCACCAAATGAAGCGGTTATCTGTGGTAACAACCAACTCACTGTTTACAGCTCTAGACAACAGAGTGAAGCGACAGCAAGCACGTTGGACATGAACTTTGATGATGACAGAATGCACCTATCCCCTAGTAACAAACATGATGGACACAAACTGGTAGTTAAAGCTTACAATGGTCCAAGTTTGGCACATCAACAGAACTAAAGCACCTGTTTTAATTGCTCATTGAGGAAAAGTTTCCAGAAGACGGTAAAAAAGTAGTAGAACAAAGACTAGGTTATACAATGCTCAGTTGAGTAAAAAAGGCAACTATGTTTCAACTCTGCTTCTAACAGTCTAGGTCACTGTACCAGGTCTTGATAAAAAAATTACTGCTTGAGCAGACCAGAGAGGGCTTCACACATTCTGCATTAACTGCACAACTACGTTATGCTACGTTATAGCCCTAAGGTGACCGTTCCCTTGGTGCCAGAACTTGCGAAACTTCAGCAACTGCACAGGAAGCTACTTTTTTGGACACCTCTGTTGTCAAGGGGCGATGCTAACTGACACTAATGAACTATCCGTAGAATTACAGTAGAAATGGAAGTCACCTTTAGAAGCAGTCATTTCTGAACAAATGAATCCACAAAGAGGTTACTCAAAACTCATGCATTCAGCTTCCACAAGCCACTTAAGTGATAGTGATGAGGCAAACTTGTGATGATGATTTCAACTCCAGAGCTGACTTCCTCATCAGAAACAAAGGTGCAGACTGAGCTACCAAAAGGAAAGTGAAGTGAGGAGATACGCTGTGTTTATTCAAATAACTGAAAGGTGCATCTGTGAATCAGACAGTGACTGGCAATTCAGAACACAACTCTGCTAAGTCTGGTAAAGAAAGAAAAGCAACATACTACATTCAGAACAGAAGCCACAGCTTCTGCATGAACAGATTTGTGCATCTAAGAGACAAAACCCAGACAAATTGTTAAATGCCAATTGTTACAGTAATTCTCATCGCTAGAGTGTCAATATCCACACTGCAGTCATGGCCAGAAGTATACAGCATAGGAAATAATGGAATCAAGACCATTTTTACCCCAGCTCTTGTGCTTGAAAAGAAATTTGTTTACAAAGAGAATGAAAAGCCTGCACAAATCTGTTAAGAATCTTACTTACGAGTCAAACTGTGCAAATACAAATCTAAGATTGTGCTGTAACAGGCAGTCAGAGGCCAATACGGATGTGCAAAGTTAAAAGAAACATAGCAGCTTTTGCAACAGGCATTAAAACAGAAAGTAAAAAAAGGAAAACAAGTTAACTCTTGCATTTGTGTCTCCACTTCATAGCTTCCATATCTGAGAAAAAGAGCCTGACAGGTCAATAGGCTTAGTGAGCAAAATCCACTTGGTATTTTGTGTATCGCAGTCTACGTTCAATGGAGCTCTCAGCAGCAGCTTGGTGGTATTATTTCTGAGGCTTTGTGACCCTGTGCTTTCAAAGAAGCAGAAAAGGTTCTAAGTGTGCTGCAGTCTATCATTAGAAGTTCATCAAAGTAGCGTGCATCGAAAGAAGCTGCTCTTCTTAGATCGATTTTCTGTTATTTTTACTGGCCCACCTGCCCCTGACGAACTGTTGTCATTCTGAAAGAGAAGAGAGTAACAACGTCACAAAATGCATGGGAAAAAGTCTAGCTTTCCTAGTTTCCCTCCCCACTTCACCCTTTTGCAAAGCAACAACCAGACCAGAGATTTGTGGCAACTTGAGCTCCTCATTTCACCAGAATCCACGAAACACTCAATAACTGTGTATTTTAAAAATAAAGATCTATCCAACAACCCAGAGCTCAAGTCTTAGCTGAAAGAATGACTACGTAATTAATCGTTTAATAAAGCAAGGATCACACTGTTACGTTTGGGAAGAACACAGCAGTTTCAGGCTGCCCAATGTTCATTTTCATGCAAAACAAAGAACAATTACACTCTGAAGTGTAACAAAGTGTGATAAAGCACTGTTTGCTCAAGCTTCTTCCACTGTAATCCCCAGGAGTTTTTTGGCAGGGCTACTACTCAGCCAATTATTATAGCAGTCATTTCAACGCATCTAGTTTGTATGCCAACTGGAAATACAAACCATTTTTCTGTTGAGCTTTGTCATAATGTCCCGTGCAAGTGTGAAAAATGCCTGGTGAGGAACAGAAATAAATAAGAGAAAGAAAGTTAGTCACGAGACATCAAAGTTAAGATAGATCTGGAGTAGCCAAACACATTGACAGTATTCTGTAGGCCACTGCTAGTACTTTAAGTTGCAAGCCAATCTATGCACAATAGCTGCTTACTTCAAAATGCAATAAGCATGCTTTAGGAAAAAAATGTATTTATTTTTAGTCTCCATCCTTCCAGTCTTTGAAGCAAGTGAACAGACTTTCCCATTGCAAACCTCTTGGATTAAAAAAAAAAAAAAAAAAATCTGCTGGAAAGAAGGCTGCATACACTAATACTTCCTCCCACCTCCAAACTGTACTAGAAACCCGGACAGAGGTTTGAGGATGGCATGCCTGGGAATTCACAGTAAGTTCAGCTTGCTTTCTGTCCTCCAGAAGTTTTGCTCCTGGGCTATCTATAATGTTATTTATGCTTCCACCCTCCCTAGAAAAAACAAACAAACAAACAAAATCACTCTGGAAAATCTCTGCATCTCAGACTTCATCTTACAAAGGAGCAAAGCTTCTTCTATGGCAGAAAAATTCTGCAGTTCTCCAAAAGCAGGGAAGAGCAAGAATTTTGGCTATCTGGAGAGAGCAACAACCCAGAAACAGCTCCAGAATGTAAAGAACTTTTCCCTCTCATTGTGTTTGGAAAATATCCAAAGACAGACATTCACTTAATGCAAATATATCACAACAAATAAAGTCACTTATGATCACAAGAATATCAGAATTGTGTCATTTCCCACAGGTTAAATATTTGGTGGAAAGAAGCCTAAATCCTTACTTGCTGCATGCCTATACCACCTGCATTTTTTAATGCCTTCTTCACTATTCATGCAACAATTCAAAAAAAATATTCAGATAGCCAAGCCACTAGGAGTAAGCACAAACTAATGTACATCAGTTGGGCATTTAATGTTGTAATGTTGGACATTGTATGACCTACAGGAGTTAAAATGAAATTGCAGGGCATGTCATAAAAGAGCATGTCAACCATCTAGAGGAATTATTGAAGGTAAGTACTCATTAGGAGGCTATTTCTGTCCACCACTGGCATTAGTTGCTAATGTTCACACCTCCATTGTCTGCTGCAAGAATGAAGACGACACTGTGAAAATCAGGTCAAGCATTATTCCAGATGCAGCGCAATGCAAATAAGTCCATTCTAAATGTATTGTATAACAATCATCCTACAATCAGAAAAAAAAATGCTTGGCTTGCACTGCATCAGATATGTTTTTTTAAAGCAACAACTGCTTTAGTTGCTAGTTAATTTGTTAGGTGCGTGATCTGAATTAAGTATGTGTTTGGAGGACTTTTAAAAGGTATCCATCTCAGCAATACACACGGGAAGGCTTTTAGATCAGTAGGTACAGGAACAACACTTCAGAAGAAGCCTGCCTTATCTGAACCATCGAATGAATCTTAGTGTAACTGCCTTTGGTATCATATTATTTTCTTGTCCACACTTCACAGAGTTAAGATCCTCCCCCCACCTTCCCTGAGATGACAAGAGTGATTCATGGTAAGACAGTGGAGATGAGCCACTCTTCCTTTTGATTCTATTTCCTTATGCTCTCATTAGTAGGGATCTTATGTTTTTAGCACAGAATTTATTTACAGGAAAACAGGTTTCAAGTCCCTAGACAGAGTATTATAAGCCACCTTCCTCCTCTAACGTAAGCTTATGACAGTCTATACTGATGTTCCAGTTAAACCTTCAGTCTCATCTGCATAGGACTTTTTTAGTAGTAACTTGAAGGCTCCTTGACGCAGTAGCATGTTATTCTTGAAGCAGAGAATCTTGAATCAAATTTCCTCCACAAAGCATTGTTCTAAAATTACACCTATTCCCTGTCCAAAAGCACTTGCAATTTAAGTAGCAAGGCACAGAAATCTAAAGCAACTGTTTGCTACAATAATAGCAAACCACTCTGTTAACACCAATTAAAAAACAATTCCAGACATTACCAGAAAAGAAGAAATGCTGGATTTTACAGCAGTTCTCTAAGTAAAAGAAGACTGGTGACACGAGAGCATAGTTGGTACTTCAGGTCCCTGATTGGGTCAAAAAGCCCAGTAGATCATGAAACATGCCTCCACAGTAGTTCAAGAAGTAGTTCAAGAAATGCACCTAAACAGAAGACCCATCTCTTACCTCTTCCACATTTATGCTGGATTTTGCACTTGTCTCCAAAAACTTGATTCCATAATCAATTGCTAACTGGAAGAGAGGTTAAAGTTTTTCAGTGTTTTTCAAGTTCCTTTGTAAAAGGAATATAACACATAGGTTTATAATAGAATAGATGCTGTATGCTGCAGCAAGTTCTAAAAACAAAACAAGCTTCTTTTCTGCTTTTCTCCTGCAAAAACATTGAGCTTACTGGACAGTTAGACAAAATATTAGAACAGGCCACATCCTCACATAAATTCAAAACCAACAAAGAGCTTAATTTCTCACAAAACCCCCACCTTATTTAGGACCTAAAAGAACATTAATACAGAACCTTCATTGATACGGATTTACAGACCAGATAACTACATCAAATCAAGCCGTAAGCTGTGTTACTAGCAACTACGCTACTTATACAGTAATATTACTTGCTTGTTTGTTGTGCAGGACAACTAATTACTTAAGCTTTAATACCAGTACTTATGACAAGAGTAAGTAACCACCATGGTGCATTTAGCATAACATGATTGAACTATGTACGAAGCCTTATACTGAGATTTAGCATACTTCATGCTATAACAACGGTCAACAGTCTTTACAGGATAACAGTACCAAGACAGCAGTACCATTAAGTTTATTCAAACTTGAAGGCAGTCAAATGCTATTTAAAACAAAAAAAACCCCCAAACCTGGCATCCTCTAATCAAACAGAATCACAGAATGTTGAGGGTTGGAAGGCACCTCTAGAGATCAACTAGTTCAACCCCCCTGCCAGAGCAAGATCACCCAGGGCAGGTCACACAAGAACGCATCCAGGCGGGGTTTGAATGTCTCCGGAGAAGGAGACTCCACCCCCTCTCTGGGCAGCCTGTGCCAGGGCTCTGGCACCCGCACAGGGAAAAAATTTTCTCCTCATGTTTTTTGTGGAACCTCCTGTGCTCCAGCTTGCATCTTTTGCCCCTTGTCCTATCTTTGGACATTCCTGAGAAGAGTCTGGCTCCGTCCTCCTGACACTCACCCTTTCCACATTTATAAACATTTATGAGGTCACCCCTCAGCCTCCCCTTCTCCAAGCTGAAGAGATCCAGCTCCTTCAGCCTTTCCTCATCAGGGGGATGTTCCACTCCATCCTCTTTGCGGCTCTGTGCTGGACTCTTTCAAGCAGTTCCATGTCCTTCTGGAACTGAGGGGCCCAGAACTGGACACGATATTCCAGACGTCGCCTCACCAGGGCAGAGCAGAAGGACAGGAGAACCTCTCTCGATCTACTAGCCACCCCTCTTCTAATACATCCCACAAAGCTGTTGGCCTTCTTGGCCATGAGGGCACAGTGCTGGCTCATGGGCATCTGGCTGTCCTCCAGCACCCCCAGGCCCTCTTCCCCTGCGCTGCTCTCCACCAGGTCAGTCCCCAGCCTGAACTGGTACTTAGGGTTGCTCTTTCCCAGGCGCAAGACCCTACACTTGTTGCATTTCATCAAATTTCTCCTCATCCAGCTCCCCAGCCTGTCCAGGTCTCGCTGGATGGCAGCACAGCCTGCTGGTACGTCACCCACTCCTCCCAGTTCTGTGTCAGCAGCAAACTTGCTGACGCTGCTCTTTGTTCCCTCATCCGGGTTGCTGATGAATGTATGGAATAGTACTGGTCCCAGTACTGACCCCTGAGGGACTCCACTAGATACAGATCTCCAGCTAGACTCTGCCCCATTGACCACAACTCTCTGGCTTCTAATATATAAAATTTTCAGAAAGAACAGGTTTGAGACCTCTTATCTCTCATGCATAAAACACATCAAACATCCAGTAGCAGAAATCCTAGGAAAGGTAGGCTTCTAAATAAGGTTAAGTCACCGAAACTTACCTTCTCTCCTTTTTCTTTTGAGACTTGTCTTTTTTCATTCATATCACATTTGTTACCCAGGATCATTCTTTCTACATCTGAAGAGGCATGCTAAAATTTAAAAAAAAAAACCAACTCTCAAAAAACAAAGTGCATTATTATTTAAAAGAAACTTATGTGTCAAACTCATCCCCAAATGAATATGTTATTTTTTAAAAGTTATCTAATATGAAGGCATTACCAAGAATGAGACTGACTTTTGTAACAGGCAATACTTAAATATTAAAATAGGTTGGAATAAATGCTCCTAGATTAAAATTGCCTGTGTATTATTACAGATCAGACACACTACCTTGAGCTCTGCACCAGGTTGTGTACATGCATTTGGCTCTTCAGGAAATGTAATGGTACATAACGTAATGGTACATTTACTTCAAAGTAATGCAGGGACATCTGGGGCATTTAGTATCATTATGCAAGACATTTGCATTTTTACAGTAGATTTTATTAATAAAATACTGTAATAATAACTTCCAACAAGAAAGCTTTTCTAGCCCTGTCACTGTTGGATCCAAGTGGTCACTAATACAGGAATTTTGCTTAAGAGCTGAAGAACGATACTGAAGAAAAGCCCATGGATGGTTATGTTTAAGGAAAAAAACCACCTCCCTGCAAGATTCTGTTACATAACTACAGTTTCACTAAAATTAAAGTTTCTCCTCTAAATTCACAATGACCTAGCCCTATCTGACAGCATGTCCCACTAAATAATTTACAGTGAGGCAGCTTACTCAAGAGGAAGGAAGCTTACTCAAGACCAAATGAAAAGGTCAAAAAATCTCTAATCTGACAAACACACAACACAGTAACAACTGAGACAGAGCTGCCATCATCCAGGGAGAGGGAGACACCCTAGGATCTTGCTCCTTCCCATTCCTTAGACACACCCAAAACCAAAAAAAGAACAAAGCCAGATAGCAAGAGCAGTTTTGAAACACTTTGTGCTTACTTTTTAAACGTAAGTTTTCTACCTTCTATCCCTAGACGAACAAGATAGCATTCTCCTCATTAATAACCAGTGTTGCGTTCACTGCACAGTCTAACTTGGCCATACATGTTGGCTACAATAATGAAGTTGAATAATTACTTGATTATTATTTGTCCCAGGGAAATCATAAGATGGAACAATTAACAAGTACTTTCCAAAGCACCTACCTCTTCTATGTTTCTTATCCAGTTCTTTATGTTGTCAAAAGACTTTTCATTTGTGATGTCATACACCAGCATAATTCCCTAAATAAAATTAAGAAAATCTAGTTAGATGAGCTAGCACTATTAGCTGACTTTTGATGTGTGCTGTTGGTTTGATTATACTTGCAAGAAATTCAGCATACGACTTACACACTTGTAATCCTTTCTTAAAGCATTATGCCATTGCTGAGAATTTACGCAAAAATATTGCCATTTAACGTGTTTTGCCACTGTTACAGGTCAAAGAGACCACCTACACAAAGTTTTATATTATTAGTGTTTAGCCAAGACACATTTAGAAATTCTACAACAACCACCACCAGGACTCTACTGTCAAAGTCGAAGTCCTTGGACATGCACTGGGAAGTGGGGAGAAGTCCAGGTCACTGCCACAAGCTTTTTTTAAGCACTAGAAAGCTCTAACACAGAGCCACGGCCGTTACTATTTTTCCCCATCTGTATTCCATAACAGTGGAGTCACCTGGACACACAGTCAGCCTAAGAATCGAACGGATCTGTTCATATGAAGGGGTAACAACAGGTAGGAGCAGCACAGCTAATAATCAGCAGATTGAAATTAACAGTGTCCCAGTGTAAATGACCTCAAATCACAGCACTAAGAATCATTACAAGTCGTACCCCAAAGAGCGCCGGCTCTAAGTCAGTTGTTTGACTTCAGGTAATTCTTAATGGAGGAAAAAAGTAACAGCAGCTTTTGTAAGTGACTGTATTTCTAGCCCAGATTTTGCATTCTCCACTGGCTGAAGGAAAAGCAATTCAGTGAAATACACTCTGAATATTAAAATCATTCATTACCTATTTTTCAAGTTGTTTCAAATGTTTAAAGGTGTTGATTGCATTCAAGAAAACTTGTCTGATTAAAGCTTGGCAACTTAACTTCTTATTATAATCTGCATAAATTTTAATTACATTAAAAATATAATAGGGCTTGAAGTTTCATCACAACAACAGGACCAGACAAAGTACCAGCAGGTTTGAAAAATGAACAACGAACAAGAAAAAAAAAAAACAAAGCCACCACCAAACCACAAACTTTATTCACTGTATCTCAAGCCACAATTATCCAATCCTCCAGCTGAAGACTTATATGATACAACCTTAAGAACAGCAAACCAGTTACACTAGTTGTGCTAATTTCTCTTTTGAAGTGAGAGCACTTACCATGGCTCCTCTGTAGTAAGCTGTTGTGATTGTGCGGAATCTCTCCTGGCCTGCTGTATCCCTAAAATTCAGTGAAAACACATATTTGTTGGGGGTGACCTTTACACTCTTCTGTACTTAGTGATGCCTTTTTAAACAGACTAACAATGTATTGATACTCACTCATTAAGAAAAAAACACCATTTAGAAGCTGTTTGCACAAGTTTCTTCAGCCCTCAACATCTTCCTTCCTCCCAAGCTATCCTACTTACATCCGTGGTTACAGCAGGAGTATAAATACGGCACAAAAGTATTTCAATTCTCATGCAAGCAATAAAACTCAGCACTACACAGCCTTCTCCAGAAAAATGACAAAAGGCAGCTCTGATGCATCTGAGCGCTGCATTAAACAAAAATTAACACATGCAGCAGTAAAATATCTTAGGGTAGTGCATTTTCACATAGAGTCAGCTATTAAAATCAGCCACTATACCTTAGTGTGCTGATATTTTATCCTAGATGACTTCAGGGCAGAATGCCTGTGAGTGAACAAGAGTACCCAAGTGTTTGGCTACTAGTCACACCTAGGGGGAGCTGAACCCCAAAGGCCTGACAAAAACCAGCTTTCTGACTTATATTACAGACAGACAATTTTTACCAACCACTTCTGGCACCTCACTTCCTTTGTCACAAGAATTCTGGCTCACACGCAAGTATCACAACTATCTTTTCTGGATCTTAAGAAAGCAGCAAGAGCCCTACGTTCACTGGTAGCATTTAAAGAGTTTGGCATATGCAGTAATGCTACCCCAAAAACGCTCATTTGCTGCTCTCAGGATGCTCAGTCTCTACTAACCCACTGGGCCAGAAATGGGAGAATTATCACTCACCTGTGCCTCTGTGAGTACAAATAGGTATCGAAGTAGCAGAGGTGATCACATTTTTTAGGTCGTCTGTTTTAGTTTATGGTTACGGGGTTAACATGTCTATTCCACACAGGAGAGTTCAAAGCACATTAAAATGGACAGCTTTTGATAAAATGGGAAGTTGCTGTAAAATGTGCATGTGAACAGGCTATTTCCTGAGCTACTGAAGCAGAACCACTCCAAGAGCTAGAAGAAAGCATAAACCTTACAAACAGTCGATAAATAAAAGAGATGAAACTTCTGCTACACCCAGGTTCAAAAGCTACAAAGTATTCCTGCTCAAAGATTAAATCAATACTCACTGAAAACTTAAATTATTTTGCAATACTTACCATATTTGTAGTTTGATTTTCTTTCCATCTAATTCTGTTGTTCTGATCTTAAAGTCGATTCCTGCCAAAAGAAGAGATACTCTGAAGTTTTGCAATAAATTAAAATGAAGCATTCAGCCTCTCAACAATTTTGTAAGAGCAAACTTATGCAAAAGAATTATTCTGAAGTTGTTACTTCTTCCAAACACTAGAAGTGCTGAGAATGCAGAAGGGTTTTCAGCTGCATCCAACATGTCAAGGAAAAAATATTTTCAACAACGAAAACAGACCAAACTCAGATTCTCTGCTAGAGTTAGTCAAGATTATTAGAGGAAGATTTGATCTCAATATTTTTCCATTTTACATTGATAAGTTCACTAGTCTGAACGAATATTTTTCTCAACTTTTTACTAGTCCCTGCAGTTCAAATCAATTTCCTAGAACCTTTGCTGGCTCTCAGGAAAAACTACACACTTTGATGCTTCAGCTCCTTTCCAGAACCGGCCTCTACTTTTGAAAAGTGATGTTTGATGCAGTCTAATCAGATGTCACAGTAGGTAAAGCTTTACAGGAGATAAAAGCTATAGAGATGGTTCCTGAAGGCGGCTGAAGTAGATCACACAAGGGATTTTTTCAAGAATCGGTTTAGGAACAACTTAACTTTTGGAGCTTCCTAGAAAAAAGTATCAAGAAAACAATTCTTTCCACCCCTTAAACTTTCACATGGTAACCACATGATTTTGAAGACAAATTTTAAGCCATGGGTGGGGGAAAAAAAAAAGCACAAAAATTCGGAAGGACTTCATAACATCCTTTAAGGTTTAGAGGGATCAAGTAGTAGATGTACAAATCAAAGCCAAAATTTCCAAGCAGGCTACCCTTTACCCTGGATCATTCTACTTTTTGCATCTCTAAATCTCTGCTATAACATAGCTCAAATTGAAACGGTTTAAGTTCTACTATGTGACTGCCAGATTTCTGAATCCCAGAATAGCCACTCCCATGCACCCTCCAATTCATTTATTTTAAAACTAATGGCCCATTTTTTATTCACTGAATCTTAAATAGTTACTTGATATTTAGTCATAGTTTATAAAATATTTGGAGGGGGGCAGAGTAGGTTATTTAATCTCTTCTTTCTATAGATGTAATTTAAGTGACAATTATCAAGAGTAGCACAATTGGGAAAATGCTGTTTCTAGCATCAAGAATTCATCCATCACTTAAATGGGAAGCTATGGGATTTTTTTCATATACTACAGCAGAATCTGAATATGAAATATGAACATTCATTAACTATTCTACTTTCATTCTCGCATGCGATATTAATGTTTTAATATATTGAAAATACCAACTTTGAGCCACTTAAAGTTCATGTGCTATGGATATGTAGTTTAGTCCATTAGAATACAAATTATAAGTAGAAATATCACATCAGCACTTTTAACAGTATATGAGAATAATTGCATTCATTTAAAATACCACTACAAATGCTACATTTGCAATTTCCCAAGACTCACAGGCAATTAATTTGCATTCTTCTAAAAATGACATAAGAATGATGTGTACTTTTAAAAATCCTTATTATATGTAATGGGCATTTGAAATGTGTTTTCCTTTTACATCTGACATGACTTTGTGTCTCTTTTATTGCAAAAATTTTTCTCCTAACTTGGTACAACGCCTGCTCAAATCACAGGTAATTGCACTCAGGTCAGAAAACAAACGACTTTTGCTCTGAATAGATTTTCTTTCAGCCTCAAAGATTACGAAGCACAAATACAGACTTTCTGGATAGTAAAACATCAGTTTTAAAGGCTTCTTTTTGTTTAGACACGAAGCCTTAGAATTAAGTGTAACTCTGGTTTAAAGATAATTCTGTACGTGCTGTCAACCACTGAAGCTGAGACACATCAGAATGAACACTGAAAGACTCCTGCAGGGATGTTTTTCTGTGAAAGCCAGCTTATGCTGCAGCCAGGTATCTATGTGCACCAGGCCAGGCCTGGCACAGACTGGTTTCTTGTGGATAGTCACCTTCCTCGCAGCACCAAAATGATTTCCGCAACCATTCCTTTGATCGCTTCTAAAACTCAGCGCCTGCACAACATATACCTTCTCAGAACTTCAGATTTCTAGTAGAAACTTCAGTAAAATTCTCAAATAAAGATGCATTTCAAAGCTAAAAGAAGAATGTTAAGGGGAAGGCCACGAATACCCCTGTTACGATACTAACAAGTGTAACAAATGCAGCTGCAACTTTTTAGAGGCTAAGATGGACTAGGAACTGGCGTTTCTTTTGTTCTTTCACTTCAGTAACAGGAAGTGGTGAGCTGCAAACATTTGCAGAGCAAGGCTGGTGACATGTGCTACCACTTCCTGCCAAAGGCACTTGCATGGCTAAACATGTAGACGTTTTGGTGACAGTTAAATATAAATTATGTCATGTAAAATACTTAAATAACTATAGCATTTCCCAAGTAATTATTCACAGAGTTTCCTATATCTACGAATTCTTACTTCGCACTATTACACACTGGGACACACAAGTTGGAGAAGCAAGTCGGGTCTAATAGGGAAGAGTTACTCGCGAATCAGGAAGTTTGATGGTAAAGGATCACACAGCTTTTGCAGTTTTAAGCGTAACGTGCAACGCTCTTCTCTCCAGGAGGGAGAAAATGCCCAGAAACTTTTGGGTGTCCATCTGAAACTAGATTTTAAAAGCTTTTAGAAAACACAGATCCAGATTAATACTTAGAATGCAAAAGCTAGCAGGAGAATTATTTAACTGCTGAAACTGAGCCACCATACAGAAGTCTGACACACTGGTGTCCCCCTGTCAAGTGAGTACGCATTAGCTACCGAATACAAGAGAATCTGTCACAGGCATCACAAACCTGCAGTCTGCAAGGATGCAGTCCAAGCTGAGACCCGAACTGTGCATTGGTTAGGAGTGCAATTGCTTATATCTCCCTTGCAGCACGGGGTAAAAGTAGCTGAGGGTTTATTATTCTTCAAAATCCTTTTTAGACTCTTGCTAATTTACAGGCCAGGGATACATCCCCTCCCCTCGCTTTACTGAGGGCATTTTTTCCCACAGCATCCATCAAAACGCTAGCAAAGAACACACTGAGCAGAGAAATCTGCACATGCAGAAAACGTCAGTGTTGTTGGTGCCACACAGACTTACACAAAAAATAGAGAGAGCTACATGGTGCCGTGTTTACCCTGTATGGCTACACCAAGCTAACAAATCCACCAGGTAGGCTGTGCCACTGTCCAACAGCTCGTCACCAGACACCAGAGGCCAACGAGACCGGCCTCCCCATGGCCTCTTCTGGTTTGAGCCAAGAAGTCACGTTCATCTCAGACACCCAAAGCTCTTCTGCCACTGCTACTTTCTTCCGCCACCACTCTGCTCCCTAGCTCCCTAGCTTTTTATTCCAGCCAACACAGGCAGATTCAACCCATAACTAAGCTGTAATACAATCATTTTAAAGAGACATTGGGAAATGTTCCAAAGAGCTGCATTACAATACAGGACAGCCCAGCAGCACATACTGAGAGGTTCCTCTTGCAGCTTCAGCACCAATGGTTTTCTACCATGAACCTTTACAGAATTAGTCTGACGCAAGTTTTACCAGAATGTAAGGGCAGAGTAGAGAGCCTGAAACAGTTCATTTTGCTACTTCAGTCCTAAGAACAGTAGCTCAGTCTCAAGGCATCACTGTTACTCTTTTGTTCTCCCCTCACCCGTGATATTAACCCTGTAGTCATCAGAGTCAGTACCTCAGGTTTTTCACTGCTACACAGCCAGTTTCAGCTAGGTCTTCATTCCCTACACAGTACCACTGCTTGGACTTAAGATTGTCTTATTTCTTCTTTTAAATAAAATTCATGTTGCAGAAAACACTACAGCACAAAGAAAACAAACCAAGTATTCTGTCTGGAGTAAGTAAACTGTTACAACAGTGCCAGCAAATACTTCCCGAAGGTAAAGGTTTCTCTGTCCTACAGTCTGCTTAGTAACAAAGTACTGGTAAGGCCAAGTTCTTGAATAATACAAGTAGTGAAAGATCGAGAAAAACACCCCACAAACAAACCAATGTTTTTTAAAATAAAAATCCCTTAGTAGCTACGGGTAAGCAAATATTAAAATTCTTAACATTTACCTGTATTACACAGCTGAGTATTTTAAGTTACCTTTTCATGTGGCTCTACATTAGCTTGCAGCAGCTGAACCTCACATGTGAGAAAGCTGTACGATCAGATGACAATTCCTGTTGATTTTAACTCAAGATGATTTAATAGGCTTTGCATTTCACGAGGTTCACAGAGTCTGTACATTTACTACTGTTCTTCTGGTGCAGCTGTAGCACGAAAGCAGCCAGGAAATCAACCTCTTTCAGGATGCAAATAAACATCAATCTCTGATAGCACACCCCTCCCTGTATATCAACCACTGCAGAGCATTTCTCTTTCTCTGGCAATGCAATACTTTAAAAAAGAGAAAAAATTAGTACTCAATGTCCTAGCATTTTAAATGGTTTAGTTGTCTTCTGCTGTTTTGTTTGAGGTTTTTTTTGTTGTTGGGGTTTTTTTGGTTGGTTGGTTGGGTTTTGTTCTGTTTGTTTTTAAATATGCAAGCCAAGGGAATTTAAGGAATAGATTAAACATCAAAATTGTCAAAGAAGTTGTGAAAAAATTAATACCTAATTTGCTTGCTAGAGTCTCATTTTACACTCGCCTATCAAAGAACGTAAAAGATGCACCACAGTATCTTGTTCATCCAGCTAAAAATGCTGAGATGTGTTTGGCATGGCCTGCACACAATGACAACCCCACCCTCCTTTAACAAGTTCCCTTCCTACTTACCTAAATCTGATCTGACTCTTTTCAAGTATGAATGGAATAAACAAAATTAAATGGAAATAAAAGATTTTCCAAAGGGATTCCCTAAACTCTGTGGCACTTACCACCACTGGACACAGATCACAACAAAAAGGAATTCTAACAAAAAATTCTAACAAAAAGGACCACTACAAGATGGGGAAAGGAGTCGGGGTACAAAGTCTCGTTA